TCGATATCAATCTCGAAAAATGAAGAAAAACGCATTCTTTCTCACTTACGCTGATAAGAATCCTATTAGCAAAAACAAATTGAAGGAATCCTTCCTTTAATGGTTGATTTACTTTGAAAAGTGAATGCATACGCCATCTATCTTCCGCAGCCCACACTGAACCACTGAACTCATTGATTACGGTAAGCGTCCTGCCATTAATTGAGTACTCGATAATAGTTGATCTACTATCGGCCAGGTTGTTCCACGCATACCAGATCGATAAATATATCGATATCACTTCGACCAACACAATTCAAAAGAACTATTGTTGTAACGAGGGAATTGATCGTTACAAGTTTATTATGGATTTGCCTGAAGGGCACATTTATCTGAATGCAGTGTTGCTATGTAAATGTGCTTGAATGCTCAATTGTTCATAAATTGAGATGTATCTTAAATTTGCCTGGTGGCTATATTTGCGGAATTGCTTGGTAACTTTTCTACAATTATTGGAGATTCTCATTTTTATCTTGTTGAATATTTAAGTTTATAGGAATATCTTGAATTTGCCTGGTGGCACATACATAGTGATAATTATCAAAGTATTTGATGACATGAATTTCAATCTGTTTTTTTGGTGTAAGATAAGATAATTTTCTAATATTTTGAATTGCTGTGTTGAGTCGGCGTTAGAATAACTCAACAGGAGAACCTTCCTTGCGGTAAGAATCCGACTAAAATGGCAATCCTATTTGACTCTGAACTGAGATATTTTCAGGGATGTCACATCTTATATGAGGAGTTTGTAGGAATTCATAACTTCAATATCCTATTAAATTTTAGGTGTCATTGTGACAACTTTCGGTTGTTCGATATCTTTTGGAATAGAATTTATGAACATCCTGTACATGATACTACGTTATATTATTACTCTCTATAACATGTCAGAGTTGAGATTTCTGGGATGGATTTTCAAGTCATTAATTATAAACGGTTTTTAAAAACTTGTTTTTTGTGAATCAATCCGCATCCTCCATTTGAACTTTGATATTTCACTTGTGACATTTCTGAACTCTTGAGTCTCCACCTGGTTGGTTTCATATCTCACAACTTTCTCGTTTCTCATCTTTTTATCTTAACTTTTTATCTTATCTTTTTATCTTATCTATGTCTCATCTGAGTCCCTTCTATCTTCATCATCTCGTGCAAGTTTTTCGGATTCAAATCTAGCTTCTTGCGTCTGTATCTAGGTTGTGTTGTTGAGTGACAAATAGTTTCTTGATTCTATGTTGAGGGTAGGCTTTGGAGAGCACCTTTGTTCTGATGGAATTGAAATGTGACTTAGTGGTATCTTCTAGATTCGTACTGAGCCAGGAGTGCACATGTCAAATTCTTCAGGAATGATGTGACCTACCAGAACCATATTGAGTCGAGATACATTGAAAGTGTTTGCAACTCAATTCTTGGACAGGATTGACTGGTTCGAAACTTTCACTTCTAATCTTCCTTCTATATGATCTAGGTTTGGTTTAGATTCTCAATTTTAGTGTTTTGGAATTAAAAATAGGTTTGATTCCACTTCTGCCCAGGACTTAGAGAAAATAAATCTTGAGTCATTATCTTAAGATTCTCTTTGAGTGTGAAGTGTAGATTTTGGAAAAGGAAGCATTTTGCTAGGTTGAGAGCTTCATCCTGGACAGCCTAGATTTTGACTATTTTTGTGTTTTTTCTTTGTCTCTTTGTATATTTCTTATCCAAGTTTCCTAATGATGTTGAACTTACTTGATATGTCTTATTCAAGTATTTTTCTGATTCTTTCTTTTCATTCTTCCTCATACTGTATCTTCATTTCCTGGTGGTCACTCATCTTCATTTCCAGGTGGTAATTCCCTCGATGAGGTGAACCTTTTTTGAAATAATGACTCGTTGGTAATGGGTGTGGACTGCGTTCAGCTGAGCTGTCTTTAATGACAGGACCGCTGATAGGGCAGGTATTGGGGGGCAGCAGGTCGGCCCGACAGACAGACCTACGGGTGTCTGCTCACAGTGCTGGTTGGCTGCTACTGTGCCTTCTTGATTCAGCGTAATCCGTTTTGTTGAGGGGACGGCCCACAGTGTTACCAACGGGAACACTCCCGCCTTAGAGTATTTTTCCCGACTGGCTTCTCCATTCGTTTCAGCTGGTAGGACTATTTCTACCCCATTTGTAAGGTGGCATTTGGTTTTTTGTTTGTAGTTTACTTATCTTGCCTTTTTTTGTTCCACTTGTGGCCTTGTGCGGCTCGGTGCACTTTCTTGGAGTTGTGGCAGTGCTGTTTGCTCTATGGAGAGTTGGGGGCGAGTGGTTCAGGATTATTCGACGGCGCTGCACATGTCATCTGAAGCGAAAAGATGGTTCTGACCAACTTTCTATAGAGGTGACTGCGCGCTGTGAGTCTGGGGAACGGTGCTGACCCTCACGAGGTACACATTTCCCTATCACTCATATGAGGCTTATGAAAGCAGAGTGGTAGTTTCAGTTTGGTAAATACTATAATTTACTAGGGACATGGGAACTCTGTTCCTTCTCATGGAGTAAATCAAAATTATTCTTTACATTTTAGGACTTGAGTCATATACTTCCTGCCACTCATATTGCACATACATTGCAGAGTTGGTAGTTTAAGATTACTAGATAAATATTTCTAGATAAAGTTTAGTCTCAACGTTTTTGACATTTGTAGTATATATAAACAAGTAGATTATTCATTATAGAATTTATCACATAATTCAGGAATAATTTTTCACTTACGTTCTTTCGGTCATTTTCTAAATTTTTATATAAAAAAAAACTTGAAAACCTCGAGTTTTCAATTTTTTTATGGAAGAAGAGGGGGTGTGTAACGAAATATAATTCGTTACTCGCTTTCAGGTTATTCATAATAAATATCAATAGAAGTTGTTAATAGATCACAGCAATTTGATACTGGCAGCGGCATCTGTTGGAAATATCACGAACATTAAACAGCACTTCCAGTTCCCTTCGTTCTACTATGATGATGATAATTAGAGTCCTAGAACTGAATCACTAGCTAAGGAGTAGGAACCTGCGCGTATACAATTCAACAAGTGTATTTTCAGACATGTCCGTTGGCCAATCGAATGATTGATAGAAGTCACGTGATAACGAATTTGCTTGAAGCGAAGGTAAAACGAAAATTCTCTCTCTTCCTTTGACCTTTCGAACAAAGAACAACTCGACGTTGACCTTTTTGATTTTTGTCGATTCTCCCGTAGAATAATTTTGGAAGCTCGAGTTTTTCAACGTTTGTGACATCAGAGTGATTTGAGGTAGGCACGATTTCAATTTTTGATTGTTTCGAAGATTGCAGATTTAATCTTGTTGAATTTCTTATAGTGAGCATTTTGATTCGAAAATGGCCGTGTCTAATAACACGCAGTAGACTGTTTGGATAGCAAATTTTCTTTTCTTTGAATGAATATCTGATTTGAAATATTGCTTGGTAGCATATTTCACAGCTTGGTAAAATAGCTGTTGCATTGCTCTTTCTCAATACTTACTCACTGGATTAGTATCGAAATTTGATTGCGTGCCAGAGCACGTGATCACCCAGGATTCCTTTGTGTGGAAAATTTCCTGTGTTTTTTTTTTAATTCTTTCAGTTTGTCTGTCGCCAAGGAAATCATAGTCGTGAAGACTGCATAAGTAAAAAAATCGATTTCTGGTGGAAATTTGAAGAAACACAGGAAGGATTGTGAATTCTGGCTCAAGGAGGAGAAACACATGCGCAGGTGAGTAAACACTGTACATTTTGAATCTAGATATTGAATCTGTTAGTGTCAACTGTTGCTCACGTGCGCATCTTTTGTTTTTCTTGGATGAGAGATTCACAATTCTTATCCACCTGAGTGAATTAATATCATTGATCCATTTGCTATTTAAACAGAGTGACTATTGTTCAATCTCATGTGAAAAATTTGGAATTTGAAGGTTGTGCCTACCTTCACTCGAAAATCAATTTTTTTTCACCTCTTTCCTCTTTCCTTCTTCCCAGGAAATATCTTGATCTATTGTGGCAATTATAAAATTCGAATTTCTTATTCGTGCAAGTGGCCAATTGCACGAAGTGTGATAATTCAGCAATTATTTTCTTATGTCAAATATTGCATAGATATTACCTCGACAATTTCAAATTTATCTTAGGATCATATTATCTGTATATGTATATGTATTACCAAGATAGAAACAAATCTTTTTGAATCAATTTTATTGTTTCCTGGTAATCTGGTATCTTTTTGATAATTCTGGTAATCCTGTATTCTTTTTAGATAAACTTGATTTTCAATATTTTGTCATTGTGAAACTTCAGCATTGACTTTCAGTTTTTTTATATACTAGACTTCAACATTTGTGTTTTGTAGCCCTCAGCTTCAAGACATGTTTCACTAGGAACCATCAGCGGTTCACCCTCCTTGAAAATTTACTGATTCTCGTTAACTTCCATTTTATGTCGACACACAAGTGATCAATCGAGAAGCTCAATACGACCAGTACAACGCGAGTCGTTGAAGATCACCTAGATTCCCCACATCTCAGTGCTGAGATTGAAGACCTGCAAAGAGCCGAGGAGCTCGCCTCTAGAAATCATCCGAGCTGTCAACTGCCATCTTCGACCTCGTGAATTGTGGAACTGCATTAGAGCTGAGCAGCATTCGTTTAGATCTATCTACAGAGGCTGGTTGTACTGACTGGGAATCTAGGACACATTCGCAAGTATCGTGTTATGGTCTGAGTTAACAATATTGATCAGAACTCGTGAAAGTTGAGAACAGTAAATATATTGTAATTCATTTTGCATTGTGAATTTCAACACTTTTCATTGTTGTTAATAGATGTATATTTGAATATTTTGTTTTTATTGCTTCTACTAACAGGAAGAGAGTTCTTGAGATAAAAGTTCATGAATTGAGTACTTACCTATTTCTTGACTTCTAGTTTTTTTTGCTTGTTTTTTTTTATTATTCATAAATAAAATAAGCTGGCGCCCATTTCACTTAACACAATTAATATCCCATCCTGATAGCACAAAAATGACCTACAGGAGGATAGTCCAAAGAATTCACCCCTCAGGAATCTCATTGTTCACAAATTTAAAGAGCTAAGGGCGTTTTGAACTTATTTCATTACAAAAGATAAAACAGATAACAAAAATAGTGAACTTAATTCTATATTCAATCATTGATACATACATTCCTTTCGAATTCATCTACTCAATATCATTATATCTTTTATGTGTCGCATCTCAATTACGGTGATTAGTGTATGGACCAAATCTTCTGAAGTCAGACCGCCTCAGAATTCAACATGTTCAGAATTGTTGTGTTCGACTGATATGTGGCCTTAAGAAGGGAACACCTACCTCACAATTTTTGAGAAGTCTAGGATGGTTGAACATGGATGAGAGGCGCTTAGTACATGCTTGCACTTTTTTTCATAAAATAGTTATTTCAAAATCTCCCCAATACCTGTACAATAAAATTGGATTTAGAACTGATGTACATAACCTAAATATAAGAAATAAATCCCGCATCACACCGCCTATGCATAAGTCTACTTTTTATGAAGGATCATTCCAATTTTACTTGACCAGGCTATACAATTGGCTTCCAGATGAGTTCAAGAGTTTTTCCATTCCAGTCCTGAAACAAAAGTTGAAATATGGTTTGATCTCAGGCGGAATATCTCTGACATAAGTGTAATAATATTGTAGTTTCTATTGCTTCTGATTGCTCTGCATGTACATTTTATAATTAGTCATTTAATAATATATATCACTCCTAAGAATATATTCATCATCCTAGTTAACATCAGTATGTTTTATAAGTTCAGACCATGAGTTCAATTCAGACTCATTTATATGAATGAGTCTTCTACTGGTTGAGTGGAAGAGCAAATTCCTGTCTTTGCAGGAAATTTGAACTCTGCCTTTTGGCAGGCTACGAAAGTATAGATGTACAATATATATATAAGTGTGTGTGTACCTAGCCTGAACATTAAGAGCATTTATTATTATTATTTTTATTATTATTATTACTGTTGCTATCAATATTGTTTTTATTATCATAATTATTATTGAGTCATGGAAACCATTCATCCTTCTCAGAGTGGTCCAAAATTTTTCCAGGGAAAGAACAGTATAGCATGAAGTCGGCAACCACAAAAATTATATGAACAAATCAAGTGAGTGACTAGTTTCGGCTCAACGGTCATTTTCAGAGACATGAAATACCTGTGAAGATCATAGAATCACGAATAGACAATGAACTAATGCGGTGAGAAGTTACCTAAAAAGACATGTGGAGATGAGGTTAACTAAACTTGTTCAAATATCGGAAAATCAGGCAGGTGATTAAGTATTTCGTTCTTTGGATCGACTAAACAGCAAAATCCACTCAACAAGAGTTTCATCATCACTAGTGGTCATTTGACAACAGCTGAAAGCACATACATGACAGAATGACTTCGTGACAAGTTGAATTGCATTATCGACCCGTTCTTTCGGCTGTTCAGTCGATTCAAATGACAATATACTCAATTACCTGCCTGATATTTTGGTATCGACCTATTTTTTAGTAAACCTTATCTACCCATGTCTTCTAAGGTAACTTTTTCCCTCGATAGTTCTTCGTATATTGGCAATTTTATAATCTTTACAGGCATATTATGTGTCTGAAGATGAGCCAAAACTAGTCACCAACTTGATTTGTTAATATAATTTCCATGGTCGACCTACTTCGTGTTAAACTGTCTTTGATTGTCATTATTATTCAATTTCCATCATTATTATTTTTCGAAACTCGCACTGTATGAAATAGCAAATCAAAAGATACGCGAATGAAAAAATGAAACACTACGACACAAGCATTCATTGCTTAGGTATTTTCTATGCTTCCTTTGTGTTCACGATCATTTTTCTGTATGAATTATATTGTACCAATATTGTACCAATGAGGTGAAAGTATATAATTCTATCAGAAGTGATCCATTTGATATAGAAGAGTTGACTGAAATTGAAGGAAAAGTTAGTTATTTTCAATTTGTGCCAATAATTCGAATAATCATACGATTGAAAATATGGCACTCACATTATTTTAACAGTTAGGTAAATATCATCAGAAAATATCAAACATATAGAAGTGAACTGAATGATATAAGAAAACTCACGAGACCCTCTAATCATCAGAACAGAATCAATAAGAACTGAGACAAGGCATCTAAGTGATACTCACAAATTAAACTTGAATATCTGATGAGGAAAAAGGGTTTACGTTTATGTTTGACCACAAATTCACACTACTGAGATGTGAGGTCTTGCATGACATACGCTTCTTGTTCAATTAATTTCATTTGGCATCAACTCAATGAAATCTTCTAGATGTTGTGTGTGAAGTTTCATATTGGAATCACAAAACTCAAGCCCAAGTATCTGTTAGGATGATCTTAGTTTATGAATTTGTTAACGAAAGATACATAACTATTTTTATGAATTTTACAGAAAACGGCCTTGGTCGTGAAGGCTATTGACAAAAATTGATGAATTTCGACACTCACATTGGTCTCAATTCTAGTAGGGCCAACTAGTGTCACTAAATAGTTATTCATACACCGAGCTAATGAAGAATATCAGTATCACCCAGGTACCAAGATTATATCCCGACGCTTTAGCCGAGGGGTATAAGGTCCCGTGTTAATATCATTTTTCATTATCAAGTTGTATATTGCATAATTCCCACTACTAGCAGGATATTTCAATCACTTTAGTCATTGTCACTATGAAAGCACCTCTCTTTCAGTAGCCACGACAAAGACAGCATGTGACAAGTCGTTTCGTTATTGACAAATACCTACTCTAGATTCCAGATCCATTCTAGCGAATCACGCGTCAGAACAGTGAATTTTGATTATAAAGCATATGACAAGTCGTTATTGATAATTCGAATGCCATTCATGCGATTCTCGCAAATAAACAGAGAATTCCGGTCAATTCCCCCAATCAGCCAAAGTACGTCTTAAAGGCGTCTTTAAGACGTACATGTCGGGACATAAGTACGTCTTAAAGACGTACATATTACGCCCAAGAGACGTCTTTAAGACGTCTTTAAAACGTACATTTTCCACTAATATGTACGTCTTTAGGATGTCTTTTTTAGGTGTTTTCGGTCCATGACCTCAAATTGATCTTTCAAATTACGGAAAAATCACAAAGTTTCAGTTGATTTTCACCTGTGCACTGAAGTTGCAAGAAGTGCAAACAAGCAAAAAAAAAAAGGAAATAAACGACTTCATCAAACGGTGGAACACAAGCGGTCACCCATTCAAGTACTAACCGCGCTCTTTGTTGCTTGACTTCGATTATTATACCATATTCACTTCTTCTGTTACTCTGTTTGTTCTATATATCACATAACAAGCTTTTACTCAGTTTAACATGTCCTTGTGTCTGTATGTAATAAAAACGTGCAAGTTAAATTTGACTCACTTTAAATCGTCCGATTGATTTGAAATTTGGCAAGTAAATATTATTCCGGTGACAATTCGTTGTGATATTATTATTGAATGGAAAAAACATAATGGCGGATCCAATATGGCGGACGATTTTCTCATTGATTATGTTTCGATTCGAATCAAAATTCAATATTCAAGATGGTGAATCCAATGTGGAATATGGTTTTCTGATTATGGTCTGATCTGATTCAAAATTGGCATCTGAAGGATTGCGGGATCAGAGATTATTTTTTTTTTGTATCGCTTGGAGCGCACGAAAGTGAATCCCTATAATGTCGAAAATGAAAAATCCAAGATGTCGGCTTCAAAATGGCGGACGAGTTTTGTGATTATAGTCCGATTTTATTCTAAATTGATTACTATGGGACTTTTGGGGTCGGAGAATATGATTTTTTTGTAAAAATTCGAGAATCTAACACGAAGGCTCCAAAATGTCGGACGAAAAAATTCAAAAACATCACTTTTGTTGAAAATAAGAAGAAACTGAACAATTGAAAATAAAAAACGTGAAGAGATGACATTTTGTTTTTCTTCAGAGAATAACTTACATTATTGTTCTATAATTCGAATTGACGTACCGGAATGTACGTCTTTAAGACGTCTTTTATACGACATGGGAACAACGGCGTGGATACGACCTAAAATGTACGTCTTAAAGACGTAAATTTGTGTACGTCTTTAAGATGTACAGGACGTAAAGACGTAAGTAAGTCGTAAAATGTACGTCTTTAAGATGTCTGGTGCTGATTGGGATATACGAGGTGGCTTAGTCTTTATCGACTAGTGATTCATAAACTGACGATAACTACCTTGGTAGTGAACACAGTTTACGCCTTGAAAAGGAATGAATAATGGTAGGTTCTAGAGCTAGTGGTGGAAAAAATGTTTTTCTACGGCTATAACACAAAATTGCTCTTGTTCTACTGTGTACATCAATGAGGTACTTTGTATGTCATCAATATTATTTCCGTATCTGATATCACAATGACTCCAATGTGTTTTTATTTCAAAGAAGTCTCATCGCTCATGGAATGTCAAATTTCAAGCGATGACAGGTCCGTCTACCTAATAGATGAGCATTACTTGACAGGACATCAAATGTCTACAAGACGAAGATATCAAAAATGCCACTGTTATGTTGCCTACGGCTCATGCTGCAAATTTCATTCTCGTAGAAAATCACTATCATTTCGTGCTTGTTAAACAATATACTATTCTCTCCATTCAATTCATATTTTTTGAGACTGAATAGAATATTACCACTTCACAATTTCTCTATATTTATATTCCTCATCCCCATGAGTCTCCCATTATAAATTAGACTCGGGACAATATCTCAAAATTTGAGAAACAATGACACCACTTTTTGAATCAGGTAGCAGAAATGCATCATTTTATTGAATAGTGTTCCATTATTAGTGATGTTTATGTTGTTATTCCGTCCCCAGTGACTTATTCTGACAAAGGACCACGCACACATTATATGGGAAAATGTATTTCGGTGAAAATGGCTGGATTTTTGATATTTTGTAGCTTTAGTCATTCTAAGTGAAAGACTCCATTGGCTCAACTCGATCGTATGACCAGATTCGGCGCTAGAGGGTGAAACATCATGAATTTAGTGTATTTTTGAGTCTTCGAAGCTTAATAGAAGAATTTGAAAATCTCATGATATGCATTCACCCTACCAAAAAAAAGGTTACAGAAAGGATGTAGTAGCCTTTTTACAGGGTGATCAACAATAAACTAATTCTCAGAAAATCCGAGTGCCATCGCCTATATGAGACAGCTTATTAATTGAGTTCATCAATGGCGATCGATCAGAATAAACGTTGATCAGAGTGATCTGAAAAACAGAAGTTACCAATATACTCCTTTAGATGATTTAATCATGGCATAGTCCTGAATATGCCTTCTGATGCCATTGTCTGATTTCTTTCCGACGAAATACATTGAGCAGTTTCACAACATTCGTCACTACTCTATGTTCACTTTTCTGTTATGGCCATATGCAAAAAATACAAGGGATCTTCTTTACCGTGAAAAGATCCATCTCACATGAAAGTTCACTTCGTGACAAAATAATTCAATGTTTTGTTATGATTTTTTTTATCAGGTGTATGTGTGAATGTGTTGTCAATTCGAAAACCATCAATGCGAATATCCCGTATGCACGAATGTTATGAGGCTAGTAAGAACAAGAACAATCATATTTCAGTGAATGTCAATTGGTACTACCTATATAATTCGTGACGTTCAATTCGATAATTGTCTCATGGTGAAAAAAATATTTTCCATATCATGTATCTTGTGATCTATTCCTTTTTTATATACAACTACAATATGGTTTGATGAAACAGTTATACATACATACATGTATGGATGATTGATAATGATAATTCGCCGTGGCAGACCTGGTGAATGCAACCACTGAGAGGAGAAGCTCAATATGTTTTTCAATGGATAATTCTGATCGATCGCCATTGATGAACTCAATAAATAAGCTGTCTCATATAGGCGATAGCATTCGTATTCTCTGAAAATTAGTTTATTGTTTATCACCCTGTAAAAAGGCTACTACATCCTTTCTGTAACCTTGGAACATACCTTTCTTTGATGAATTTTGGTGGGGTGAATGCATATCATAAGATTTTCAAATTTTTTTATTGAGCTTCGAAGACTCAAAAATACACAAAGTTCATGATGTTTCACCCTCTAGCGCCGAATCTGGTCATACGATCGAGTTGGGCTAATGGAGTCTTTCACTTAGAATGACTACAGCTACAACATATCAAAAATCCAGCCATTTTCACCTAAAGACGTTTTCCCATATAATGTGTGCGTGGTCCTTTGCGAGCTAACAGGAAGTTCGATTCCAATTTCCTGATCAGACACCTTGAATGATTGAGATAGTATCAACGTATTATGCGAGGTGATTCATGAAATATTTGAGTTGTGGAGATCCGAACCAATTTGTATTGAACGATATACATTCGCTGCATTCTACCCAAAAATATGTTGCAGGCAACTATCCAATTCCTCCTCCAGCTAGAGATGCAATTGCAGCAGTTGGAATTCTATTCTTCAAAATGACTGTCGGAAGTGGTTTATCGAGATGAAATCTTGCTAAGAAACCCCCTACTCCAGCAGTATAGTTGACCGAGAGAACAGTTCCGTCCTTGAAGCTGACTGAGTAGTTTCCACTAACATCAAGCTGATCATCAGAGCCTCTGAGATATCCATTTTCGTGTTCTTCAACTCCAGCAGATGTCTGTATTCTGGAAAAGTGACATATTGTAACAATTGTTTAACAAGGAATCACCACGATTTTATGTTCCATTCTAGGCATCATGTCATGAACGCGAGGAAATAGTATTAGTTTCAGTCGGGAAGATACCTGTAGCAGTGAGTAAAAGTCACGTTCGAAATGAAAAGTTATTGCCTTCTCATGGTAATGAAAATATTTATGGAATCATCCTTCCTAGTCATCCGTGAAAATAATCCCCTTTCTCACGACAAGTGGTGAAGGCACCATTCGACATTTCAAATATACAATCATCAATGATATCAACCTTGGCCAACATATTATTTGAATGACTCAGTAAAGGCTAGATATGCTGCTGACGCTGCTACTTTTCAATAATGGACAAGTCTCTCCTACAGAAACTACTATAACATTGATAATTCTCATATTCAGCAAATTTTCATCGAAAGGCAAATATTGATGGAGAAGATGGAGATATAGCAATGGCGGAAAGTGAATATCTAATGAATATTACTTGCAAGTATCCGATTCCTGCTGACCGAATTCCATATACCGATAGAATCATTCTCGAGATACATATATTATGGTAGATGAAATTTTGCATTGTCTTCACTGCTTATATCGAAATGGAAGTAACGTTAGGAAAAGCCATGTGTAGAATGATGAACCTAGCTCTGCCAAACTTCGAGGATCCAGGTAATTTTGATCCTAATAGGGGTCCAACTGAAAATTTCATTCAACATTATGAAGAACATTCTAGGAGAATTTCATGAGGAGGGGTAGTTTCAAAATGTATGAGTTTTCATCAATTTTTCAAGACATCAATGTATACATTCATTCATGTATGTATTCATTTGTTTATTTATTCATTTATTCATTCATTTATTCATTAATTCATTTATTCATTTATTCATTTATTCATTTATTCATTTATTCATTTATTCATTTATTCATTTATTCATTTATTCATTTATTCATTTATTCATTTATTCATTCATTTATTCATTCATTCATTTATTCATTTATTCATTTATTCATTTATTCATTTATTCATTTATTCATTTATTCATTTATTCATTCATTCATTTATACATTTATTCATTTATTCATATATTCATTTATTTATTTATTCATTTATTCATTTATTCATTCATTCATTCATTCATTTATTCATTTATTCATTTATTCATTTATTCATTTATTCATTTATTCATTTATTCATTTATTCATTTATTCATTCATTCATTTATTCATTTATTCATTTATTCATTCATTCATTTATTCATTTATTCATTTATTCATTTATTCATTTATTCATTTATTCATTTATTCATTTATTCATTTATTCATTTATTCATTTATCCATTCATTCATTTATTCATTTATTCATTTATTCATTTATTCATTTATTCATTTATTCATTTATTCATTTATCCATTTATTCATTTATTCATTTATTCATTTATTCATTCATTCATTCATTCATTTATTCATTTATTCATTTATTCATTTATTCATTTATTCATTTATTCATTTATTCATTTATTCATTTTTCATTTATTCATTTATTCATTTATTCATTTATTCATTTATTCATTTATTCATTTATTCATTTATTCATTTATTCATTTATTCATTTATTCATGTATTCATTTATTCATTTATTCATTTATTCATTTATTCATTTATTCATTTATTCATTCATTCATTTATTCATTCATTCATTTATTCATTTATTCATTTATTTATTTATTCATTTATTCATTTATTCATTTATTTATTTATTCATTTATTCATTTATTCATTTATTCATTTATTCATTTATTCATTTATTCATTTATTCATTTATTCATTTATTCATTTATTCATTTATTCATTCATTCATTTATTCATTTATTCATTTATTCATTTATTCATTTATTCATTTATTCATTTATTCATTTATTCATTTATTCATTTATTCATTTATTCATTTATTCATTTATTCATTTATTCATTTATTCATTTATTCATTTATTCATTTATTCATTTATTCATTTATTCATTTATTCATTTATTCATTTATTCATTTATTCATTTATTCATTTATTCATTTATTCATTTATTCATTTATTCATTTATTCATTTATTCATTTATTCATTTATTCATTTATTCATTTATTCATTTATTCATTTATTCATTTATTCATTTATTCATTTATTCATTTATTCATTTATTCATTTATTCATTTATTCATTTATTCATTTATTCATTTATTCATTTATTCATTTATTCATTCATTCATTCATTCATTCATTCATTCATTTATTCATTTATTCATTTATTCATTTATTCATTTATTCATTTATTCATTTATTCATTCATTCATTTATTCATTCATTCATTTATTCATTCATTCATTTATTCATTTATTCATTTATTCATTTATTCATTTATTCATTTATTCATTTATTCATTTATTCATTTATTCATTTATTCATTTATTCATTTATTCATTTATTCATTCATTCATTTATTCATTTATTCATTTATCCATTTATCCATTTATTCATTTATCCATTTATCCATTTATCCATTTATTCATTTATTAATTTATTCATTTATTCATTTATTCATTTATTCATTTATTCATTTATTCATTTATTCATTTATTCATTTATTCATTTATTCATTTATTCATTTATTCATTTATTCATTTATTCATTTATTCATTTATTCATTTATTCATTTATTCATTTATTCATTTATTCATTTATTCATTTATTCATTTATTCATTTATTCATTTATTCATTTATTCATTTATTCATTTATTCATTTATTCATTTATTCATTTATTCATTTATTCATTTATTCATTTATTCATTCATTCATTTTTCATTTATTCATTTATTCATTTATTCATTTATTCATTTATTCATTTATTCATTTATTCATTTATTCATTTATTCATTTATTCATTTATTCATTTATTCATTTATTCATTTATTCATTTATTCATTTATTCATTTATTCATTTATTCATTTATTCATTTATTCATTTATTCATTTATTCATTTATTCATTTATTCATTTATTCATTTATTCATTTATTCATTTATTCATTTATTCATTTATTCATTCATTCATTTATTCATTTATTCATTTATTCATTTATTCATTTATTCATTTATTCCTTAATTCATTTATTCATTTATTCATTTATTCATTTATTCATTTATTCATTTATTCATTTATTCATTTATTCATTTATTCATTTATTCATTTATTCATTTATTCATTTATTCATTTATTCATTTATTCATTTATTCATTTATTCATTTATTCATTTATTCATTTATTCATTTATTCATTTATTCATTTATTCATTTATTCATTTATTCATTTATTCATTTATTCATTTATTCATTTATTCATTTATTCATTTATTCATTTATTCATTTATTCATTTATTCATTTATTCATTTATTCATTTATTCATTTATTCATTTATTCATTTATTCATTTATTCATTTATTCATTTATTCATTTATTCATTTATTCATTTATTCATTTATTCATTTATTCATTTATTCATTTATTCATTTATTCATTTATTCATTTATTCATTTATTCATTTATTCATTTATTCATTTATTCATTTATTCATTTATTCATTTATTCATTTATTCATTTATTCATTTATTCATTTATTCATTTATTCATTTATTCATTTATTCATTTATTCATTTATTCATTTATTCATTTATTCATTTATTCATTTATTCATTTATTCATTTATTCATTTATTCATTTATTCATTTATTCATTTATTCATTTATTCATTTATTCATTTATTCATTTATTCATTTATTCATTTATTCATTTATTCATTTATTCATTTATTCATTTATTCATTTATTCATTTATTCATTTATTCATTTATTCATTTATTCATTTATTCATTTATTCATTTATTCATTTATTCATTTATTCATTTATTCATTTATTCATTTATTCATTTATTCATTTATTCATTTATTCATTTATTCATTTATTCATTCATTCATTTATTCATTTATTCATTTATTCATTTATTCATTTATTCATTTATTCATTTATTCATTTATTCATTTATTCATTTATTCATTTATTCATTTATTCATTTATTCATTTATTCATTTATTCATTTATTCATTTATTCATTTATTCATTTATTCATTTATTCATTTATTCATTTATTCATTTATTCATTTATTCATTTATTCATTTATTCATTTATTCATTTATTCATTTATTCATTTATTCATTTATTCATTTATTCATTTATTCATTTATTCATTTATTCATTTATTCATTTATTCATTTATTCATTTATTCATTTATTCATTTATTCATTTATTCATTTATTCATTTATTCATTTATTCATTTATTCATTTATTCATTTATTCATTTATTCATTTATTCATTTATTCATTTATTCATTTATTCATTTATTCATTTATTCATTTATTCATTTATTCATTTATTCATTTATTCATTTATTCATTTATTCATTTATTCATTTATTCATTTATTCATTTATTCATTTATTCATTTATTCATTTATTCATTTATTCATTTATTCATTTATTCATTTATTCATTTATTCATTTATTCATTTATTCATTTATTCATTTATTCATTTATTCATTTATTCATTTATTCATTTATTCATTTATTCATTTATTCATTTATTCATTTATTCATTTATTCATTTATTCATTTATTCATTTATTCATTTATTCATTTATTCATTTATTCATTTATTCATTTATTCATTTATTCATTTATTCATTTATTTATTTATTCATTTATTCATTTATTCATTTATTCATTTATTCATTTATTCATTTATTCATTTATTCATTTATTCATTTATTCATTTATTCATTTATTCATTTATTCATTCATTCATTTATTCATTTATTCATTCATTCATTTATTCATTCATTCATTTATTCATTTATTGATTTATTCATTCATTCATTTATTCATTCATTCATTCATTCATTTATTCATTTATTCATTTATTCATTTATTCATTTATTCATTTATTCATTTATTCATTTATTCATTTATTCATTTATTCATTTATTCATTTATTCATTTATTCATTTATTCATTTATTCATTTATTCATTTATTCATTTATTCATTTATTCATTTATTCATTTATTCATTTATTCATTCATTCATTTATTCATTTATTCATTTATTCATTTATTCATTTATTCATTTATTCATTTATTCATTTATTCATTTATTCATTTATTCATTTATTCATTTATTCATTTATTCATTTATTCATTTATTCATTTATTCATTTATTCATTTATTCATTTATTCATTTATTCATTTATTCATTTATTCATTTATTCATTTATTCATTTATTCATTTATTCATTTATTCATTTATTCATTTATTCATTTATTCATTTATTCATTTATTCATTTATTCATTTATTCATTTATTCATTTATTCATTTATTCATTTATTCATTTATTCATTTATTCATTTATTCATTTATTCATTTATTCATTTATTCATTTATTCATTTATTCATTTATTCATTTATTCATTTATTCATTTATTCATTTATTCATTTATTCATTTATTCATTTATTCATTTATTCATTTATTCATTTATTCATTTATTCATTTATTCATTTATTCATTTATTCATTTATTCATTTATTCATTTATTCATTTATTCATTTATTCATTTATTCATTTATTCATTTATTCATTTATTCATTTATTCATTTATTCATTTATTCATTTATTCATTTATTCATTTATTCATTTATTCATTTATTCATTTATTCATTTATTCATTTATTCATTTATTCATTTATTCATTTATTCATTTATTCATTCATTCATTTATTCATTCATTCATTCATTTATTCATTTATTCATTTATACATTTATTCATTTATTCATTCATTTATTCATTTATTCATTTATTCATTTATTCATTTATTCATTTATTCATTTATTCATTTATTCATTTATTCATTTATTCATTTATTCATTTATTCACTTATTCATTTATTCATTTATTCATTTATTCATTTATTCATTTATTCATTTATTCATTTATTCATTTATTCATTTATTCATTTATTCATTTATTCATTTATTCATTTATTCATTTATTCATTTATTCATTTATTCATTTATTCATTTATTCATTCATTCATATACTGACGCTTCCACCACGTGGCAACCTGGCCTTTAGCTCCAGTGATACCTTCGTTTATTCATTTTTTTTCTTCAATAATTGGTCTGAAGATTGTTAATTATTGTTTATATGAATATACTCCATTATTTGTTTTGTTTTTTTCTTGATTAAGGCATCGACAGCTAGGTCATTAGCCTTATACTCCATTATTATTGTTATTTTCATTAGTTCCCATATGAGACAAACATAATCGTTGTCGATGCGTGATAACAATAACTGTTTACATGAAAGCATTCACTAAATCAGCTTATCTACTAAAGAAACGGTTGAATCATTGCATAATACAGATTATCATAAAAACCTATGACCAGCTCTTCATTGCGAAATGAAAACCTAGAGAATACATTCCAAGAATTTCCACCCTCATTATCATCCATTAAGTAAATAATATGGGGAATCGAGATTACAAGTCAAGATGCACATTATTCTGGAGGGCGTTCAATTCTGATTCCACAAGTATCATATTTCGAAAAATGCCATTATTAACTCACAGTAGTGATAAAAACATGCTTGCAATGGGATGGATCCAAAATCTTCCCACAACTTGGATTGAAAAACAAGGCAATACAATAATATCAAACTTGCATCTCAGTGCAGGCATGTTCCTGTTACTTCTGTAAGTTGAGAACGGCAGTTTTCGGAAACAGCTCATCAAAAAATGAGAAACTAGGGTATTGTTGAAAAGAGACTCGAAAGCCCTTCAAAATTATATGCATCTTGACCACCCTTTTATATGAGGTTCTTAGGTTTACATCTTCATCTCCTAGGAAATTGAACTATGAGGGCTACGAATATGCATTCCAAGTGTCTTCCTTGGAAATGAAATCGGCGTGTCTATACAGGGTGATCCACGGTGGATGGCCTATTAGAAGTATCTGGAGAACGAAAAGACAGAACATTCTGAAAATTGGGTTTCTTTGATAATTGAACATTCTCTATCCGTCTAAAATATTTTCATCGATACAGTGCAGTACAGTACACTTCTATCAGAAACAACTAGCAACTTTGTTATTTCAAATGGAACACCCTGTATTTTATTGCATTTTTAGATTCTTTCCAAAGAGCTGATCTCATCAATGCATCACACTTGGGGTCTAGCAGGAATGATTACAGAGATATAGGGTGTTCAAAATCGAGATTTTTCAATTTTGAGATTTTTTTTTGTGGAAACAATTCATTATCGATCAAAACGGCTCACATGTCCCTATTTCAACTTTTGATTGACTTTCTACTGGAATTTTATTGGAAAAAATACAGGGTGCTCCAAGATTCAGAATTCTGATCACCCTGTATCTGTTCCAATCAAATGTCAGTAGATAGTGAACCGAGAGTTAAGATAGGGACATGTAAGCCGTTTTGATCGATAATGAATAGTTTCGACACAAAAAAATTCTAAAATTGAAAAATCTTGATTTTGAACATTTCTGTAATCATTTCCGATAGACCACAAGAGTGATCTATCAATGAAATCAGCTTTTCAGGGAGAATCTTGAAATGCAATGAAATACAGGGTGTTCTATTTGAAATAACGAAGTTACTAGTTGTTTCTGATAGAAGTGGCAACACTGCATCGATGAAAATATTTTAGTCGGATATAGAATGTTCAATTATCGAAGCATCCCAATTTTCAGAATGTTCTGTCTTTTCGTTCTCCAGATACTTCTGATAAGCCATCCACCGTGGATCAGCCTGTATATGGGGTAGGAAGTTTCTCAAAATGACATGAAACTTTTTTGGAAACTGCCCAACAGAACTTGATGAACTAGGGTACCTATGGAAAGAGAATAATGTGCCACTCGACCCCGCTTCCTATTTGATATTCTAGTCTACCCCTCCTAAGGAGTTGACCTGAGAGGGCTCAAACTTATAATTCCAGGTGTCTCCTTGGAAATGAAATCGACCTGTTTTCTTCGTTTCCTATATTATTCACTGAGAGGAATATATTGATGATGGAAAGTTTCAAAAATGTAACCCTGTAATTTTATACTCGAAATCATATTCCTCATCCATTATGGAAGGAACAGGCATTCTTCAAAGTAATGTGGAAACTGATAACAAGAATGACAGGCAATCCTAATAAAGTCTTGGTTCTACTTGGCTCTTATTTCTTCATTCCTTTGCTCACCTGTATAGGTATTATCCAATTAGAATCTAAACAAAATCGATGATTGTCGGTTCCGAACCAATTTTATACAGTTTTCCCAATGCATATTCTTTTATTCATTTCCTTTCTCACTTGACCTAACCTTATTCAATGATCATGACTATGTTCAGAAACAATATTTCAAATGACAGCGGTACAAAATTTCTCTATTCACATTCACAAATAACAATCAACAAAACAATCATAAGGTACTCACGTGAAATAATTTTCATTGGTTCTTAGATTATTCCTAGATCTAAGGAGTTGACCTTTATTGCCACCAACCGGTATTGAATGCACAAAATTACAGAAAGCGATTGTTAACGCAACTACTATTCTGAACAGCGCCATTATCAACACAACATCACGAAGTGAAAGTATCGCAAAAATGATGAATCGCGAAAAATAAAGCTAGGTATGCGTATCCATCAGTAATCCAGTTATAAATTCAGTAGATGGTGGAACGAAGAATATGTAGAAAAAAACGAACACGACCATGGATATGAATCGTTCATCATCGTTTCACGGATCATCATATCTAGGAATTTGAATTGGGTGTTGTTCAATTTTCGCAATTATCATGGTTTGTAATAACATGGCATTGGTCTGTTCCCAGCATATCAGCAACTCATATAAATCCAACGACACTTGATTATTTCAGTTTGCTTGTGGAGATTCTAGGCTGTAAATGACATAGTTTCTCAGACGTCGAAGTTTCCAATGTCACAGCATTAGGCTGCCAAGAGGGTTACCACTGATAGTGAACCTGTCCCACTGATTCCATGATTACATGGTTATTACCTGAAATTTCAAAGTTTATAGTGGTTACATGGGATTTCATAATGATTTCAATAATTTCATGTTTATTACATGATGATTCCATGAGATTTCATATGATTGCATGGTGTATACATGATGATTTCATGAGATTTCATATGATTGCATATAATTGATAATTCGATGAGATATCATATGATTACATAAAATGGGGTATACTTGTGCGTTAATTTTACAATGAAATATTGGTTTGTTTCATGTCTGATATCGATAAAAATCTTATTATATTTGAAATGGAAACGAATTTCGATATTAGATCATATACAATTCATTCAGAATTGAAATTCAAATCATCAAGAACATTTCAACCAATAGCCGTGAGGCAACGATAATTTCCGTCACGAAATGAGTCATGACAAATATTATACAGTATAATATCATTCATAACAACCATTCGAACCTTTTTTCCATGAAAAACAATATGCTCTTATCCAAATTGACTGCTTCAAAGTGGAAAACATATCGTAGAATGATCATAATGAAGCAGAAAAGCCAACAAGAAACATAAAAATTTGGATAAATCATCACCTGTGAATGGTTCGCCCTGTATGAATAATGAGTTATCGTGTGAAAATAAAGTAAATGGAAATCAAAAATGAAACTTAATAGGGAATTTTTATTGGAATAAAATAATTTATTCAGCTCAAAATATCAGTTTGATGCAGTTTGTAATGCAATTTTGGAATCAGTTGAAAAAAAACAGATACAAATCTCCACTACGAGTTGTCATTCGTAGTTGGAATTACGCTCGGGCAATCAGCTTCTCCCATTCATCATCGATATAAAAATTCAAATGTTTGAGGAATTCTTCCTGACTACTTAGATGGTGTTACAGCCATGCTGTCTATAAGAGACGCCTCTGGAGGAATAACGTGCCGACTTGATTTTTGTTGGGACTGGTTACGCTCAGTTGGCGGTCTTTGGACTGCTAGCTGGAGATCACCCTACACTGATGAGGGCCAAAAGTACGAAGCAACTTTTTGCAGGCACCTCCATCATTTTTCATTTTTTTGGATGTATGACAAACTGGCATTCATCATACAGGACGTGAAAAGGAATTCAGAATTGATACGATTAAAGGTCTACAAGAATAAACAGTTTCGTTCAAGTTCGAACCCCTTGATCGGGTGAGAGTAGTGAAGAGGAATACACCCCTGTATCTCACGTAATCGTTGGGTATGGAGTGGTATGGATCCTGAAATGTACTGGAGCGAGAGATATACCAAAAATGCACTCAATGACCAAGTAAGGTCATCTTAAGCTATTTACACTGCTCGCCAACAGCCATGAACACACCCTGATTTCCGGAAAATGATATTAGCAGTCAGAATAGGTTGAAAGTCACTTGGGATTTGGAATCAGGACGCACAATCAACTAACTATCCATATTCATCCTGAGAAATTTTCAGTTTTGAAAGATTCATTTTTGTCTTATTTTTCATGGAAACACCTCCACATCTTACGAAATCGTTGGGTTAGGATTCTGAAATTTGCTGGAGCGAGAGATGTATCAAAAATGTACTCAATGACGAAGTCGTCCAATTCACTAACTTCCCCTATGTTCACGCATTATTATCGGTTACGATTTTCTTTATACCATCGACGAACCCATTCATTTATAATCCATTTCGATGACACTCGATATGGTTCCTGATCCATTGGATCACTCCTGATAATTTATTCGAGTGTACTCGTTCAGATCTTAATTTCATTATCCCTGATGAGAACTGACCTTATAATTCATTATTCCAAATTTTTTGGTATTTTCTCTCCTCGTTTCTAAATAATGAAGATATGAATATTAATTCAATATAAGTGTAGTGAGGACAAATCAGATAATTTTCCCCAAAACGTCACTGCGTTTAAAGAATTTTCCTATCAGAGAGCCTGAAAGAAAAATTCGGTAGCTTGTCAGTGACAATTTGTATTGAACAAAGTTTGGAGAAGAGAAATGAAGGTATATAAAAAAAATATCAGATTTTCACTTATCTTTGGACGTTTCGGAACCGATTTTGCTTCCGTTTTCAACATGAGAAATGATTATTTCAATAGCAAAGTCGTATCTGTCTTGAAGCTTTTCAGTTTTCATTGAGAATTGGTGACGTTGGCATTATGCAACGTTACAAAACATGTGCAACACTATAATAATTAATTCTTCATCATCACATGTTTCGTTGAATGATGAACATTATGTTGCGTAGTCTCTAGTCCAAAGATTCAAACTTTTTTCGTAGGGGTTCCTCTCCCGAAATAACTCCCGCAAAATGATTTTTGTGCGTCAATAAGAAATAAGAATCCTCTATGCCATTCAGCGGAGTTGTTGGTCAATTGTGATTGCCGAAGAACATCTTCAAAGCAGCTTCAAAGAGAATAATCAAACATGGGTTCAGCTCTTATTATTCGTCTGCTCATCTTCCCCACCCATGTGTTTTCGAAATAATCTCTTTTTTGTTTCTTGAATTGACTTGGCCACTACTTGATGGAGATCCATGGCAAAAGTAAAAACTTCACAAACGATAAGATTTTCACAAAATTCTCATACACACGACATGTTTCGCTAACACAGAATCTTCGTAAGATGAAATACTGGTACACTGAACCAAACCAACGTTGGCTTGCTTAACTCAAATATATTCGATTTTCCTAACTTGAACGATTAGTTACCTATGGACAGGTTCGATGAACCTTCATTTTTGGAAATTAGATACAATATCTAGGTACATCAGAATACGGTGTACCGGATTAACTTGAAGAGAATGATAGCAAATGAATATTATCACCTACTACGGAAAAGGATTCAACAGTGGTGAATATTGAAGTCTAATTGGTCGTTAAGTAAAATGTCAAAATTTTTGAGTTCGTTGATTTCTAATGATTCTAAATGATTTAGTTTCATTCATTATTCCAAATGTTTTGGGATTTTCTCTCCTCGTTTCTATAAAATAAAAATATGAATATTATTTCAATATACGTGTAGTAAGGACAAATCAGATGATTTGCCTCAAAATGTCACTGCGTTTAAAGAATTTTCCTACCAGAGAGCCTAAAAGAAAAATTCACTAGCTTGTCAGTGACAATTTGTATTGAAAAATTTTTGGAGAAGAGAAATAAAGGTATATAGAAAAAATATCAAATTTTCACTTATCTTTGGACGTTTCGGGACCGATTCTGCTCCCGTTTTCAACATGAATAGATTTTTTCAATTGCGAAGTCGTATTATATGTCTTGAAGCTTTTCAGTTTTCAATGACAATTGGTGACGTTGGCAATCAAAGGAGTTACAGGATGTTTCCATTAATTAATCTTGAATTTACCATTTTCATATTCAGATTTTAGTAGTGAATACCATGTTCTGTCTATATCAACTGAACAAGAAGCAATGCTATTGTCTCCGTTCAGAAGAATGCAAGCAGATTCCTTGATTTTTCTCTTCTGGTTGTTATCTTCTTTTCCAATGTGTAAAATTTCGGAATTATCATCAGAACTATGATTTTCGTATAATATATGGTTTGCGTATTCTGAATTTGTTTTCTTTTTAAAAAAATCATCTTATGTTCATGACTTCGCTGTTCAAACGTACGACCTGTCTGACCGATATATACTTCAGGACAAGATCCACAGTTGAGTTTGTATACCCCTGTCTTCAGGTACCTAATCGTTCAAGTTGGGAAAGTTGGAGTTATGAAAGTTGAGCAAGCCAACGTTGGTTCAGTTCATTGTACCAGTATATCACATGACGAAGCTACTGTGTTAGCGAAACATGTCGTGTATTTAAGAATTTTGTGAAAATCTTATCGTTTGTGAAGTTTCCACATTCGAAATAATCAATGAATCCATCATTTACTCAAGTGAACAGATGTTTCCTCACTACATACGAGCATCGCTATTGGCGGACGTGAATAATGTCGGTATTTGTTCAGATGAGTTAGCTTGTTGGTGAAGAAACAGTTTTTCGAAATGAAGATATGAACGTTTATTCATCTATTAATTGATTTATTTATTCATTTAGGATTCTCGGTTGCATATAGTACAAAGTACCAAAATAGCATCCACATTGTAGCTACGGGGTGAGGCAAGTTATACATCAGTTATACAGTTAGCAAAGGAAATTTGAAGTAAAGTAGTATGTGAAAGAAGATAGACACATTACTAAGTCTTGATGAACAATACAAAATATATACATAATACGAGTGAATATATTATATCGAGTATAACATATTTAGTTATAGGAAACTATGATTGACGATTTCGAGTGAACTGATTTTTGAGGATCATTTTAAATCTATGTAGTGATATTGGGAAAATGTTTATGTTCAGATTATAACAATATCTGTTAAAAAGATTATGCATTTCATTCAGAGAAGAATGCTATCCTATACATGCGTCCTGTTAAGAATTCTGAAATTGTTTTCAGACAATGGCGAGTCTATCAGGGAATTCAGTATTTTATTAAACGTACATAGGTCTGTCACAACTCTCCTATCTGATAAGCTCAGTATATTATGTTGGGATCTTCGATAGTTATGTGTGTTTTGAATGCGAGAGATCGTAAAAATCTTGTTTGGACACTTTCGATTCGTTTTGTGTAAGTTGTATATTGAGTGTTCCAAATGACTGAGGCAGAAGATATTTTACTATGAACGAAAGCGTAGTATAGTGAGATAAGCGCTTTGGAGTGA